TCTATTTAAAAAATATTTAAACATTCTATCGTAAATATAATAAAACTTTGTAATCAATTTTTTATGTTCTTACTGCATCAAGATTATTATTTACATTTAATTTACTATTTAATTCATTCTAATTTTTCAAATCTTTAATAGAACCAAGTGGACAAGTTTTTAACTTCAAATTAAAAAATACGAATATTATACAAAAAGAAATTTGAATTAACTTACTTCCATCAACGTTATAGGAATATCATACAAGATAATATGTTTCCTTTTATGATAGTCAATATAATTTTTGGATAGAAGTGCAGCAAAATATTGACTTTTGTCAATTAGTTTTTGCTTATCGACTTTAAATTGCCTCCCTTTCAGTATTAATGTTGTCGTTTCGGTAAGTTTCTTCTTCATTTTAAAAACGCCAAAGTTCGAACACAACTAACAATACTGTAATTACGCACTAAAATATTTCTGTTTATTAAAATAAATTTTCCTTTGCTAAATTGCTAAAGCAAATGATAATCGGCACTGTCGTTTATATTTTTGAGCCACGTGGCATCGTTAAATGTTAAGCTAGCTCTCTTCTTTTTTTCTGTTCCCCACTTCTCAACCCTTATATTTGAAAAGTAGGGATGTCTTTTAGGAATAGATAACAGATTTTGTAGACAAACCGCGTCAACAAATTTTACAATATACAATAAGGGAGACAATACTTCAACTATCAACTTACTGTTTGTCATAAGAGCAAGTTTTAGTTTGTTTTATTAGTTACACGTTACTTTTTATCAATATAGGGACTACAGGATTTTTTAATTGATTAATATTATTTAATATTATTATTAAAATCATTGATTTTATATATGACTTATAAATGGAATATTTTTAATCCTTATAATATTTTTAATACAACTTAAACAATTATTTTACAATTTTTTCAAGACATCATATTTAAATTAATAAATAAAATAAAAGGAGATAACTTTGGTGCCATTTTTATTATCAAACATCACATAGATTACACACGCGCGCGCGGGCGAGATTTCTATTTCCAATATTAAAATTTCCAATATTAAAATATTTTGTCAGTCTATAAATGTTTAAATTATTTATGTTTTATTTTTTAGAAACTTATTAATGTAAGCGAGTACATGTTTATATATCAATCTCAATATATATTATACATTATCCTTAAGGTGAATCACATATGCTAATAAAAACTGTAATAATCCTGTTTATTGAATATTTTCTATAAATTAGAAACAATTTCTTATATTACAGTCGCGTCGTTATTTTTAACAGACTTAAAATGCAGCAGTAATAAACAATAAAGCTATAGCTAAAGCTTATTCCTAAATTAAACATAAATCAATTTGTATATCTTAATAATGATGTAAATGTTTTAGATCCATTAGATTGATAAATTTTGACCTACAATATAATGAAGGTAAGTTACAGGGGATGCAATGCAAATGCAAATTAGAATAATCAATTGAATTACACGAATCAAATTGGCTTTTACAACATGCTATTATCGGTAAGTTAATGGTCTCTTTTATATATTTTCCGTTATTTGGTATTTTAAAAAGTTTTATGGCATAAGGCATATGTAATCTGCGCTCATGTTCGCGCGATGATTTGTAAAAAGAATTCATGTCGTCCATTGGTACATACTTAAAATCGATATGACTACAATATGTCATGTTGCATGCAACATTTAAAATTTTTTTCTTCGTATCTGCAAAAAGAAATATAATACATAATAAATTTTAAATATCTTTTACACTCATATAATGCATAAAAATTATAATATTTACCTAGATGACATCTCGCATTGTCAAATGTGAGTATCGATGTTTTTTTTGGAATGTCAAATTTATAGATAAATAGAGAGAAAGGGCAAATTTCCGAGAAATTCAAGTATTGCCAGTAACCCAATTTAGATGAATAAATACTAATGTAAGAATCAGTATTATTTTTATCAAAAATGTACAAGTTTCCATTTACAGCAAAATGTTTAGTATCAGTTTTCCAAATATGCGAAAACTTATCTTCTATCCATGTATCTGTGCATTAGTAAAACAAAGAGCAAGGATTATAACAAGGAATATAACAAAATAATTTGTGTTTTTATAAATTTCGGTTGAGAATATATTCGTGAGAAACGATAATTAAAAAAAGTAATCCGATATAATTCGTATCTGAAAAATTATACCTAATAATCTTCGTCACAGACTATTATGTATATTCAAATCATTAAAGACTCTCACATTATATAATATACATATATTTTTATATATATATAATACTACATATATTTTTTATTTAACTCTAAGTTAAAAGATATTTAAATAATTAAACAAAAAAAAACAAAACAGACAAGGAGAATCAAGTACTGCAACTAGTCTCTATAATATATTAATATTCATACACGTTAACTCTCACTAGTCTTTTACTTCATATGTGTTATTTCTTATGTCAAAAGTCCATTGTTATTTTTATTTTAATTTTAATATTTCTACAAAATTATAGTAAGAAAACAGTTTTAATATTATATGTTTCAATAATATATATTTTATATATTTTATTACTGTATACTGTATATGTAATTTTAACGTTGCGTTAAATTACCTGCATGTACATCATAAATATCAATACGATTAACTTTTTTTCTATCTTTTCCTATACCAGCTATAATTATTAATTTATTTTGGACAAATGCAGCGATCATATCTCTTCTTCCAATTGGCATTCTAAAATATTAATAAAAGTTGTTTTAAGAGATGACCTCTTTTAGTAAATCTATCCATCTATAATTACACCTATCTGTTTAATTATTAGGATTCTTACACTGTCTGAAGATACCATTTCTTTGAAATCAAAGAATATCGCCATATGTTTTTGTTATAATGTCCGTTATGAATATATTGTCCTCCAAGTAGATACAAATTATATCCTAAAAAGATTATGTAAAATAATAAATGAATAAGACAAAACAAGATGAAATAAAAAATAGCATACCTCTAGCAACAATCCTCTCCCCTTTTAACGTGCTCTGAGTGTAATTGCAATGTTCGATAATGTCTTTAGGATATTTAAAGGAGGTAGATTTAAAGAATTCTTTACCATCCCAACAATAAATAAAAAAATCACTGTTAATACCGGAGTTATTAGACATTATAATAGCTTGTAAAGTGGGTTTCTCTTTATTTGTCAAGAATTTCCGCTCATCATAAATTGTGTCATCCTATTAAAAATGATTTTTTATTATGAAAGAATGTTGTATAACATGTTGATGTATAATAGAATATAATAAAATATTAAGAAAAGAAAAGAAATATTCTGAACATAAGTTTTGAAATAAAAATTACTTTTTAAAAAAAAACATTTTAAAAACATATTTTAAGAATATTTTTAAAGTTTTTATGTAAAACATCATTATAAATATATAAAGTAATAAAATATTATTCTCATAATTAATATTTACTTACTAGATTAATTTGGACCCAATCGTTAATAATTTCATTTAAATACTGGTCTGAACATCTTAGGTTAATGTTACAGATTAGTTTTAAAAAATCCTTTTTTTGCAATTTACGAAGCGAATCAAGAGATAGCTCCACAAAGCGATCTAAACTAGCTGAGAAAAAAAGATCTCGTAGAATTTGAATTCCCAATTCGTCAGCATATAACCAAATGTCAAGTAAATATTCTGGTTTCATATATCGTTGTTCAAAAATATCTGTTATATCTTCTATCAGTTTATCTGCTGCAAATAAAACGCTTATTTCCAATAAGTCAAACAAATTATTAAGCTCTTCAGGATCAGAAGTAATTTTAATCTCTCTTGCGGGAAGGTAATCACAATGGATCCAATCAAGAAACATCTACAAAATAATTGTTTCATTATTTTGATTGAAACAAAATGATTTATTTTAATAAAATACAATGTCACTCTCAAACACACACACACACACGCGCGCGCACACACACACACACACACACACACACACACACACACACACCACACATGTATTTTATTATATGAAATATATTATTTTATTATATGAAAATATTAAAATAAGTTGTTCCAAAATTACATATTTGATGAGATATTTAAAATTTTTAAATAAAACATACGTTTTATTTAAAGAGATATTTAAACGTTCCACCGTAAATATAATAAAATTTTATGTTCTTTATATTCTTACAGCATCAAGATTATTATTTATGTTTAATTTACTATTTAATGCAATCTATTCTTTAATAGAAATAAGTGGATTTTTAATTTTAAATAAAAAAATTTTACGAAGAGAAATTTGCACGCATGTACGCACGTGCATAGGTACAAAAAACTTATTCTAACATTTTCATATAATCTATATAATTTAAAAATTTAAAGAATCTATATATTCTAAATTATATGTAAATTATATATATAAATTATATTTTCTATATTAAAGAATCTATATATTTAAAAAGATATAAATCTATTTTAAGAAATAGCGTAATTGCAATTTTTTAAATTATTGTTGCACTTATGAAATAAATTAGTCATCACAAAATAGATATTATATTAATTTTTGCCTGTACTATTTTTTTCTGTCTGCAATAGGATATGCTACAACAAATTGCTAATGCATTTTATGTATAAACATATGTTTATATATGTATATATATATATGTGTGTGTGCATGTGCGTAAGCACACATATATGCATACATACATAACGTGCATGACTAGAGATGCGCACGAGACGAGATAAATCTCGATCTCATCTCGATCTTGTCTCGAAATAGAGACGAGATTATTTGTAACATTCGAAATCGATATCGAGGTTTAGCATATCGAGATCTCGATAAGATCAAGGCTACCGTAAAGCGCGCATTTATCTATAATTATCATGTATACTATAACAAAATGCGCGCATATGTGCTTTATGGAATCCAGTCCAAGATTGTTTAAAATTCTATGGCTGCGTTCCGATATTCACTGCCAGTACTGAAAATATATAGTTCAGGTCACGT